GCACGGAGTGGCAGGCGGGCTCCCCCAGAGTGGTTCCCAGAGCACTGGCTGCTGGTCTCACCCCATGGACTATAAATAATCATGTAACACTAAGTTCATGTGGTTATGCTAGTCAATTAATTGACATCTAACATCCCTAGGGCTCAAACTCCATTTACATTGGGACCAGTGTCAGTCTTCAAATGCTAGTGGGCACCATGTCAGCACTTCAAGGGGTGGGGTGGTTACTGCATGTTCTGCCCATGTGTTCCTCAGCCCTGCCTGCTGCCCCTGAGTTATTTAACCCCCATCCCTGGGAATTCTGACACCACCACAGTGAAAGTGGCTCCTGGCTTCTAGCTCTGCCATTGCTGGCACATCCCTGTGTCTCAGGAGAGGCATGTGCAGAGCCATCCTGTTCATAGGACTGTTCAGCATGGCTGCCTCAGGCCCAGTGCTTTGGGGGCCCCTGCAGCAGCCACTCCAATTGTCCTATAGACAGGATGGTCCCATGTATGCAGGTTTGGCTGGGGCCAGCAGCAGGGGTCACCTCCCCACCCCCCCCAGCTGCAGGAGCTGCGGAGAAGTAGAACTACACAGCAGCTTGCTCCGCTGCCATTTTCCAAGCAAGCCTACGTTAGGGTGCTCTGCTTTCTGTTGCTGTGGTGAAGTGGCATTACCAGGGTGTTCTGGGAGATGGTGGCAGAGCAGAGGCAGCTGTGGTGCTCACTTTCCTGCTGGCTCCTTTTTTACAAGCCCATCCCTTAGGGTGACTGCCGGGCCCTTAATGGGTTAATTACCACTTTAAACACTACACTGAAGCGTAGGATGGATGTGTTATATGCTTAAGCGCAGCAGAAATGTGCACCCGTGAGAGAAATTTTGGAAATGCTGGGCTTCAAAAGGCCTGTGGGGTATGACTCAAGACCCCTGACTTATTCTTGTCCTGTTAGGTACTCTGTGAAGTGCAGTTTTGTAACTAACCATGTGCATCATTCACAAATGTAGCATGCTGGTCAACTCTTTGAGCTGACCTTGAAGGAGAATTTAGCAAGGTAGATTGTGCCCCATGCCTGGCACCATACAAACTGTCCTTTGCAAATGGTATCAGCAGGTCACTTTCCCAATGCTAATCACATGGGCGAAGAAATTGTCCAATTCTGCTACTTAACAAATGTCTTAAAGGGACAGATTGCAGTGGGATGCAAGCCTTTATGCCAATCATGTGTCCATGTGGACTGTGCAAGACAAACTCCTCTTGGTTATGAATACGAGAATGAAAGTTTCTAGGGAACTGTCCAAATTGTCTTAAACTCACTAATTTGCCTAGGCTCAAATGGCAGAGTCTAGAGCTCAAACTGATGTTACTAGAATGGCATCTCAAAGTTGTGCACCACTAGTCTGCTATAAACCTGACTCACTTTGGGAATGGACAGTGTGGGAAATGAGAAGAGCCATAAATGCCAATTTGAGGTAACTGTTAGAGAAGGAAATGGCATATCTCAATCTCACTGGAGGCAAATTAGCAGCTCCCTACTGGTTTTCTAAGAAACATGAGGCATACTATGTACAACTGGGAAAACATTCCACCTTCATTAATGCTTGTCTGACTCTTCGCTTAGCCATATAAATTTGCAATACATAAGTGCACTTCTAATTCAATAACTGCCTCCCCATTATCAGGGAACATGCTCTAGATTCTCACAGTAAAAACAGAAGTAACTTGGCTTCACAGTGAGGTGTTATAACTTTTCAGCAGTCTGGCAGTGGAATCTTGCATTGGATACAAATATTTGTGAAATGTGATGCCTGGTGCTCCAGCTTGGCAGATTGGCTTGTTTGGAGGGGGTGGGAAAAGAATGCAGATGACGCACTTGACTTAAAAAAAAAAAAAAGCTAGTAGTGTTGACAGAAACCCAATCCTGATTAAGAGTAGGAGGAAGGCATCTGATTCCAGCCATGTTTCTGTCTCAGTTACAGTTGGTTTTGGCCATGGCTTGCTTTTCTGCTTGCCTCTTATCAGTTTTTTAAGCTCTTGCCCTGACATTTCCACAATCATGTAGTTGACTCTTCTCTAATGACAATTTTCTCCCTAGCTACAGCAGTTTCATATGGGGGAACTGGAGGTTTCTCAAGTATGCAGTAAACTTTGGATGGGAGGACCCACGAGTTGTAAATTACAATGGCACCTGCTAATAGTATTCTGATTTATGCTCAGACAAACCTGCCTGCTGAATGGAGCCAACCTTTTTTAGGCGTGTGTGTGTGTGTGTGTGTGTGTGTGTGTGTGTGTGTGTGTTCTAGACTGAAACATACTTGACTTGTTTAAGCAGCAAAATGGTCTGTTCAACTTCTGGTGGTTGAGAATATTGCCTGCCTCAGAAGTGGTTGTGTTCGTATATAGCAAATGGCTAAGATTCCCACCCCCACACAGTCTCGCAGCTTATTGTCCTAATGTTTGCATTACACCATACTATGAGCTGTGATGAAAGTGGCCAATGTCTTGTATGCAAAAAGTTAAAAGGTTGCATTGTAAAATTGTAACTTCAATCTTGGTTTTCTCGTGTCCCTGAGTCTAATATTGTCACTTAAACTTGAAGCGTTGTATCATGTCTCCAACTTCTATTGCAGTTGAAGTTGGAACTACTTTTGCTGACTGTCAGTACTGCTTTGGCATCCTGCATACACAGACAAACTTGTGGGAGCAGTGATGTGGCATTCTCCATGGGTTTATATTGGTGACCTGTACAAATGCTTAACTAGCTATTGCAGCATCTGTTTCTGTAGTTTAGTAATTAAACATTGTACAAGGGCATGGCTGTACTGAGTGAATGTTGCATGCTGAGTACTTTAACAGAGATGCTAATGCTACAAGATGATAGCAGAATTCCAAAGTTGGTTGTTGGCCACCCTAAAGTGTAGGGTTTCCCTTTATCTGAATTAAGAGCATGACTTTAAAAAAAAAAAAAAAACCATTGCCAGCAATGAATGGAAAAATCTTTGTCTTAAATGCGGGTGGTGCTAGGTAAAGATGTAAGTTTAACTGGCTAACCAATAACTAGGGGTATAATCTAGTTGAGTAATCTTTTGCTTATCGGTTCTAGGTAATACTATAGACTAAAAACCTCCCCCTCCCCTACTGCCAGTACATTTTTTAGCAGGCTGGCCACCAGCCCAGCTCAGTTCCGGCTTGCACTCGGTCTGGGAGCTCAGATCTTTCCCACACTCTCCCCACCCCAGACAGGGGCTGCTGCCACCCTGTGATGCTGCCTCCTTTGAGAGGCAGCAGCACAGGGTGACAGGCAACCTGTCCATGAGGGGAGCTAGTTTTTAAATAGGCTCCCTTTGTGGACCAGCTCCAACTGGCATCCCATGCTGCTGCCTCTACAGCAATAGCAGTGCAGAGTGGCAGGCGCTCCTTGGGAGTGGGGCTGAAGTGCACTGACTGGCCCCAGTAGTTGAGTAACCGATAACTCATTAGGTTCATCGACTGCTCAGTTGATCATTATCTAACATCCCTACCAATAACTGATGCTTATTGGCTTTTTGTTACTAATTGAACTCTACCTCCTTGGAGCCAGCTGCCCCATGCTGCTGGCTCTGCAATATGAACCCACTCCTAATGCACACTGGCTGCCAGCCTTGCTGTGCAATACAACTTCTGAGGAGAGCACAGTGTTTGGAATTGTCCCCAAGTATAAGCCATTCAGTAATGTTCAGGGACTTCTCCTATATTCAAGTGGCAGGATTCTTCCAAAGCTTTCTAAAGAGGGTAACTATTTAAATAAGCACTCTTTATTTAAAAATAAATAAGGCAGCCTTGGAAAGGGTTCAGAAAAGGGCAACTAAAATGATGAGGGGTTTGGAACAGGTCTCATATGAAGAGAGGTTAAAACGACTGGGGCTTTTCAGTTGAGAAAAGAGGAGATTGAGTGGGGCTATGATAGAGGTCTCTAAAATCATGAGTGGTGTGGAGAAGGTGAATAACAGTTATTTTAGTTCCCATAATAGAAGAACTAGAGGACACCAAATGAAGTTAATGGGTTTCAGGTTTAAAACTAACAAAGTTCTTCACACAGCGCATAGTCAACCTGTGGAACTCCTTGCCAGAGGAGGCTGTGAAGGCTAGGACTATAACAGTTTAAAAAGAAGCTAGATAATTTCATGGAGGTTAGGTCCATACAAGGCTATTAGCCAGGGGATAGAAATGGTGTCCCTGGCCTCAGTTTGTCAGGGGCAGGAGAGGGATGATAGGAGACAAATCCCTTGATCATTGTCTTTGGGCCTGTGACGGCACGTTGGGGGTCCCCGTCTCCTGCACCCCAAAATGGCACAAACAGACTGCACCAGCCGGTGGAATAGAGGAAGTTTATTGTCTCTCCAGGATACAGTACAGCACAGATGTAATCTGGTCCCAGAGCTGGGCTAGGATGCCTCAGGCCCCCTGGAGATGGGGGAGACCAGGCCCCTAAACTCCAGCCCCTTTCCCTAGGCTGTCTCCTCCATGCTCCCAGACAGCCAGCCACTAACCAACTCTCTTCCAGCCCGGCCCCCCAGCCAGGGCAGCATTCCGCCTTCCTTTGTTCCTCTCCATGGGGGGTGTCTGGCCATACTGGTTTGCATAGTGACTCATCCTGTTTTGCTGGGTCGTGGTCCCCCCGGCAGCCAGTGGGGGTTACCCCAGAGCCAGCAGCATAGAAACCAGCCAGGTACCCCCACTATGTCACGGGGCCACCCTCTCTGGGGCACCTGGTGCTGGCCACTGTTGGCAGACTGGTCTGACCCAGTATGGCCGTTCTTATGTTCTTATACCCTGACATGAAAAAAGATACAGCTGCTCTCGAGTGCTTGAGCCCAAGTAGGCATCTTGCCTGCTACATTCTGTCCTTCTGTCTTTAGAGATGCTTGATACTGGTGGCTTTCAGGGTCGAACATTCCACTGCTCATTGTGTGGAGCGCTAATGAGTCTTGTAATTGAGAGTACATAACCTAAACAAACTCTTTTCCCTGTGATAATATAGGACTGATTTGTGGCAGTCTCTGACCGACTTCTGCAGACGACTGCAGCAAAAAATGTCTAATGCAAGAGCTTATTCCTATGATGCTGAAACCACCTTCATCAACTTTGAGACGCTTAAAGATGATGACCTGCAGAACGTAGATTCCTGGTTCGGTGAGTATCAGAGTTGGGCGACTGTCTGCTTTCTGCTGACGTGAGGCTTTGTGGAAGGCTAATCTCTCCACCTAGGTAAACTGTCTTATTAGGCCTGACTTCTATAGCAAGTAGGTTATGCTGACTTGTGCTGTAAACTGACTAAAATCCAAGTACAGTGAAGTTCTATCCCTGATTAAGAACTAGCGAGTTGATGACAGGCTTAACTAACATCATAATTACTTGCATACCATGTGGTTTTGTTATAGGTGCTTAATATAGAATGTGTTGACAGTGTTTACTCTTTCACAGACCTGAAAGCAAGCATAGAGAATGTCCCTCCTGCGGAGAACGTGGCAACAGGCTTGTGCTGCAAGATAGACTTTGAAAAGTCTAATCTTCCACAAGCTATTGTTTCACCAATGGTCAAATCCAGTAAGTTGGCACAATTCTGAAAATAACCTCCATTCACTAAAACAGGGTGCTCAGACGTCATTGTACCCAACCCAATTCTCACAATAAAAAAATACAATCGCTGGTGTCTGAGCGACACTGACCTGAGTGGGAGGCCAAAGACTGAGTCCCACCACTCTGGGGGATGGATATGGGGCCACAGCTCAAGCTCTCTGGTTTTGGCCCTGGGTAGTGGACTTCAGTCCTGGGCCCCAGCAAGTCTGTCAGCTGTTGCAACCCACTTTAGCATCCCAACCCATAGTTTGAGAACTCTTGCACTAGAAGATGAGACACTAACACCAAGTGACATAATGGCTAAGTCCAAGCACGATTCTGAGTTTATGGCCTTCTCAGAAGCTTGCAGACTTACCAGTCTTGTCATGAGCAAAGTTTTAGAAATGCACTGAGGTACGAAATTTCTTCCTGCCTTGTTAGATTTATCTTCTGAGCAGACTCTGGATTCAGTCCTGCCTCTCCACTGTTCAGCTTTGAGATCTCTCAAACCCTTTTGCTTCTGGGGTTCTGTTCAACTTTTTTCTTTTGTTTACAATCTAGCATCAGAACTCAACTGAAGTGATTTATAGAAAGCTATGCTGTCTTGGGCAGGTGTAAAATTGTAACTTTATAAACACACTTTCTAGAGTAATATTATTCCCCTGTTGATGGGGTCTGGGAAATGCTACCAATAGACTGCCTCAAAGTGTGGAATATCCTAGTTTTGGAACTCTTCATAGGACTGGAAGGGACCTTAAGAGGTCATCAAATCCAGTCTCCTACAAGGAGTGCAGGAGTAAGTATTGTCTAGACCAGTGATGGACAACCTAGGCTAGCTGGCAGCATGACAGGCCTTGCTTCATCTCAATGGGCTGCAAGACTGTCGTAACCAAGTTGGTCTCCCAGGATAACCTAGTTTTGCTAACTGCATTTGCATACCTAGAATTTGCAGTTTGTGCTGACTGAACCATAGCAGCACTTTGGATGCAGAGGGAGTACACAGGCTGTTATAAGCAACTAGCATACACCTCCCTTCATATAAAGCAAGTGTAAGTGTCACTTTAATACTGCCAAGAAAAAGCTACACAGATGTAATCAAATTCTACTGGTTTACTGTTGCCTGTGTGCAGGGTTAAGAAAATGTCTCACGGCCTATACCTAGAATATCATTAGGCCACAGGTTGCCCACCGCTGATTTAGACCATCCCTTGGGTGTTTAACATGCTGAGATTCCATAATCTCCCCAGGCAACTTATTCTAGTGCTTAACCACCCGGACAGGTAGGAAGCTTTTCCTCATGTCCAACCTAAATATCCCTTGCTGCAATTTAAACCCATTGCTGCTTGTCCTGTCCTTAAAGTTAAGAACAATTTTTCTTCTTCCTTGTAACAACCTTTTAGGTACTTGAAAGCAGTTGTCCCCTCTGGAGTCTCTCCAGACTGAACAAGCCCAACTTTTTTCCAGTTTTGCCTCATAGGTCATGTTTTCTTGACCATTAATTGTTGTTGCTCCTTTCTGGACAGTATCTTTAGTCCTCATCTTTACTGAAGTGACACCCAGAGCTACTCTGGTTGAGGCTACTCAGTGCCGTTTAGCCACTGAAAGCTCTTTAGTGGAGTTATATCCTTCACTTTCTCAAAAGCAGATACTAGCTTCCCTGTCTCTCCATGTAGGTGAAAACCATAAGATGGAGGGAGAAATGGGGCAGCCAAAGCAGAACATTGTTGGCTCACTAGCAGCCTGGAGAGTCCAATCAGAAAATGCTTCAGCTCCTGCTCTTTCCGGGGCTTCTCAAAGGTAAGAAAGCGTGTCTGCTTAACCAAGCCCCATGTGAAGCCTGGTGATGACTGTCACCTGCATGCCCAAGATGTGTCCTGAGCTAGCTGAGTGGTAATGGCATACCATATCCCCTCTTCATGAAGGTCCTGTTTTGATAGAACTGGAGATTGGCATTGTCTTCACCCACCACATGCAGCAGCACAAAGCCCTTGTGTAGCCCAGGTTGCAAGTGAGCCTTAGGGTATGTCTAGACTAAATGCCTCTGATTAGGTTTTCAATTAGCATTGTAACAATTAACTGCTGTTAGTCTCCTCTGAAGCAGGTCTGTATATAGTGCCGTCTGAATTTGTGACTTACTAGCAGATATTGAAATAGGTTGTATGGAACTGTCTCTTCTTCCTGAAGATCACATGGGAGAGCTGACTCAATTTTTTGCTGCAGGACACGATCCAAAAGACTCTCCTCACAGCAGAAGAATGCCCAGCAACGCCAACAGCAAGCCAGAATCAGAGAGAGATGCCCAGTCCCATCCACCAAGGAGGAAGATCCACCCACCAAAAAACAGAAAATGTACATTGCCAGAGTTGTCTTTGGGGCTGAGGGCGGGAGAGCTGCTATTTCTCTCCAGTTCAGAGACCATGCTTCTGAATAAGTTCCATCCTAGATGAGGTGGACTTGGAGGCTTAGGTAGAAGTGGTGGAGATCTGGTTCACAATATCAGTCCCATAACACAGGAATCTGGTGACGTGGGTTTTTTCCAAATGTAAGTAGGCTTGCTGGTGTGAGGGTGTGGGGAGAAAGCGAGTCATGCAGTTTTGTGCACTAATTAAGCACAGGGCCCAGAATGATAGTGAATTCTCTCACTTCATTCATGCTGCCCATGAGGGTGGAGATGAGCAATTCTGAACTAGGAAAGGAGAATGTTTCTCCAGTCCTGCTTATATAGGACTCCACTTGGTGCAAAATCCTAGCATATAGAACACAATACATTAGACAATTGCCACTGGATGGGAATGGGATTATGCCTCAAATAGGAAGGGACTACTAACAGGATCTAGATCACAGCCCTTCCAGGAAGGCAAAGCTAAACTCTGAAACTTCAGTAATTAGTCTTCCCTTCTGCAGCTTTAACAGAGTACCAGGGAAAGCTGTGCCAGCCTGTATGGCCAGGTAAGGCTCTTCCTTGGGTTATCTTCAGATCAGCGGTGAAAGTTTGGAATGCCCAGAGCATGTTGGTGAGAGCTTAAATGGGTTTTCATTGAACACTGGTATCCAAGCATGTGTTGATCTTTATCTATTTTTGTTGCTCTAGGTCTAGCAGAGAGAAATTGACTGGGAATGATCTCTGTTCTGAAGTGCCACTGAACAGAGAACGCTCCCCTGCCAGACCCAAGGGCAAGCTGACCATGCCTGAAACACCAACAATACTGAAGTATGTAGCTTTCCAGTGGAGGAACAGTCTCTTGTGCTAGTAGCTATAAATATAAAACATAGCCATTTAAGGAAAGCTTTGTCACTAAGCTCTCTAGTGTCACTATAGCCTTAACTTGATGTCAAGTCTTACTATTTTGGGGGCAGTGGGAGAAGCAATGTGCCTGCAAGTATTCTGAGCATGTATGCAGTAATCCTCAGGTACAAAAGGGAAGGTGGCACCCTTTTAGGTACCCAAGTCTCTAGATGTGTACTCCTTGAGATACAAAATCAGACATAGCTAGCCAAAAACTTGGGTGTTATCCTGTTAAACATGAGATTTAGATTTCTTCTGCACTGAATTTACAATTCTGTTTTGCCAGATAGTGCAGGTGGGACTGCACTATCAAATAGACGTGGGAAGCTGTGCTGGTTGAGAGCATATAGGTTTGGTAGGGGGGTTAGTGTCTCCCAGGGCTACCGAAAGAGCAGGCAAACCTCCTACGAACTTGTGGAAACCATTCACTCCTCTCTGCCTCTGCCATATTTCATTCCTTCAGAAGGAAGAATCTGTCTGGGAAGCCCAAGAGCACAGAAGAACAAGAGCTGGAAAAAACAAAGCAATTGCAGCAAGAGATAATGGTGCTGCGCAAAAGAAATGAAGAGTTCCTGAAAGCATCTATTGCTGGCTTAGGTAGGTCTAACTCTGGATTCCTTTCTGCACTATCCCACCATTCAGATCATAAAGGTGAGAGTATCAGCATGCACAATACCAACTCCCCGATGTGGGCACTGCACATGTAAACTAAAGACAGTGTCACTATGACTAAAAGTAAAAACTGAGGCAAGAACACATCCATGAAAGTGGAAATTAAACCGACTGAGGAAAATAGAGCCTGCTCTGGCAAGTGAAATCTAAAGTAATTAGAGCAAAAAACTGAGGTCTACCAAAGATGCAAAGTAACAGCAAAAAGTTTTAAATACATCAGAAGCACAAAACCAGGGGTGGAGAACCTAAGGCCCAGAGCCTGGATCCAGCCCCCAAGGCTTGGGGACTCCCCCAACAGCATGCTGGTGCTCCAGCCTTATGCCCCCACCCTCTGCAGTGCCCCCTATGGGGCTGGAGTGCTAGCAGAGGCTCCCTTCTGTGTGGGGTGGAGCCCCAAGCCTTGTGGGCCAGTCAGGTGAGCCAGAGCTCGATCTGATCCATGGACTCTGCCTGGTCTGGGGAGGGAGAAGCTCTGATGTTGCTGTTGCTGCTCCCACACCCACCCTTGGCTGGTGCAGTAAAGCACTGCCTGGAGGCTTCCCCCTCAGTCTAATAGCCAGGACCCACCTCCCCGGCTCTGTTATGTGAAGGGGATGTGGGGGAGTTTCTCCTCAGTCGGGCCATGTCCATGGTGGGAGGGGTTCAGGTTTTTCCTATGGGTCAGTGTCCCCAACCCAAAATAGTTCCACATCCCTGCAGTAGACTCTCAACATGCTAAAGCACAGTTTCTCAACCTTTTTAAAGTACCACCTTTTTAAAAAAGTATGCCCAGCCCATGCACTCTAACCCATACCTCTCCTCCCCCGGAGCCAGGCACTGGACATGTGGTAACCCTGCCTTTGAAGTGCCCACTCCCACCGCCCAGCCCAGCCTCGGCGGCTTGTCTGCAGGGAGTAAGTGGCCCACTCAGTGCCTGGTTCGCTGCCTGGAGCTGTGCACTCCCACCCCAGCCTGGCACCCCTAGTGTGGCACCCAGGGGCAATTCCCCCACCACCCTCCCTATGCTACTGATGCAGGGGTCCTTTGGAACAAAGCTTATTGTGCTGCTTCACTGCCTTTTAGCTTCTCTCTGCAGCGCCACGGGGAAGGGGCAGTGGGGATGCATTGCACTGAACTGCTGGTGGGGTGCGAGTAATGCACATCTCCAGGTTCAGCCCCCTCCCCTCTGGGGCACCCCAGAGAGGCTGCCTGAGAGGAAACTAATTAGGGGAGGTGATCATGGAAGTTTCTTTCTCCTCTCCACCCAAATCCAACCCCTAACTTGGAACTGCCCTGGGTATCACTAGAGCTGCCACAGCCACACGCTTTTCCCACCAGGTGCTGGGCTGTGTGCACAGAGTGGCTGTTAACATCCAGGCGCATGGCTCTGAATGGTCAACTTGACCAGCATGTGCCATCACCTCTTCCCTGATCCCCTTTGCAGGGCAAAATCCTGGACTTTTTTGCCAAACTTCACTTGTTTCACTTTTAGTAATTTCCATCTGCTTTAGTACTTGTGTTGGTGGGGGGCTGGTGTCCTCTTGCAGATGTAAGTTTACCAGGTATGTGTCAGGTCTCTGCACCATGTAGCAGACCAGTATGTCCACAACCAGGGCTCAACAAGCTATGTAATCTACTTGCCTGTGGCCAGAGCTGGGTTCTGGTGATCTGCGCATGCACAGATCGCCAGACAGCGTGGCTGGTGAGCGGGGCTCGGTGAGCCCTGGCCATGACTAAATAGAGACCTCCACAGACTTTTTTCCACATGTTTCCAGAGCCATATTAAATGGCATATGTAAAGGGTATTGGGGCCCAAATCTACTTGGAAGCAAAACATTACTATATTATGAGGAAATAAAGGGCTGAAGATGGCTTTGTAGGCCTATAGAATGCATATAACTCCGTAGAAAGCTCAGGCTTTGGATGAGCATAAACTGTATCCATCTCAAGGGGTTTTCTTCTTTTCTTATTCTTAAAGGACAACCTGTAAAGGCGGCTACAGGCCAGGTAACACAGCCAGTTGACTTCCACTTCTGTTCAGATGAGAGGATTAAGCAGCGCACAGAAAGCCAGCCTGTAAACGAATATAAGGAGCTGGATTTTGCTGCTGCCCTGAGAAAGCACCCTCCATCTCCGGTGAGGAAACGGCAGAGGACGCTACCAGATCTAAATCTATTGTTGGCTGGCTCTTCCTGCTGTATTGTTTGTTGGTTGTGAAAGCAAGAAGTCATGTGGGATGTGACAGACTAATAGATGTGCTGTGACTTTTATGGTGTATCCCCCGGTAGCTGTCAGCATCTCAACAGGGTTCCAGTCTGGCTCATCAGAGCTTGTAGTAAGTGGACTCTGGAGTTCTATCTGCTACTCCAAGAGATTGAGTTCCCATGAGGCTCCTAAAAGACTCTTCTGAAAATGTGGTATGACTTCCCCTTCAGCTCTGCAGCAAGAATTAAGCCTCCATTCCTAACAGATGTTAACATGTAGACCATTACATGATTAACAAACCCAGTCTTCTCGGTTAATCCTGTCAGCTAGATGCATTCCTCCACTCCTTGCTGCCTCAGCATCAGAGGCAGCAATGTAGGGGGAGGGAGGAGACATTAGCCTTGAGGAGTTGGCTTTTAAGTGGGCTCCCCAAGTGCACCAATCCTGTGGAGCTGCTTTCCCCCTTCCCTTACACACATTGCTGCCTCTGATAGAGGTGGGCGGAGAGGGGGTGCAAGCAGGAGATGGTACACATGGGAAGCCAGCGGTCAAGCGGGCTGCCTGCACATTGGATCCTGCTGAGCTGCCTCCCCCTCCACACTGCTGTCTCTCTAGGGATGTAATAGTATTGTCTGTTAACTGATGAGCAGAAACATAGGTTCATGCTATAGACAACATGCATTTAATTCTTCTCCCGCCTCCTCTTCCCGCCTCCCCTCCCGTGCTACTATATTTTTTAGCAGGCTGGCCAACAGCCTGGCTCAGTCCCAGCTTGTGCCAGGTCCATGAGCTCAGATGCCCCCAATACAGAGGCTGCTGCCTCTGATAGAGGCAGTAGTGCAGAGTGGCAGGGGATCCTCTGAAGTGGGGCCAAAGTGCACTAGCTACCGGGACTATAGAATAGTTGAATAACTGCTAAGAATTCAAGAGGTGGATCAACTATTCAAGTAATCGATATTTAACATCCCTGCTCTGAGGCAGCGGGGGGAGGGGTTGAGCAGGGGCTGCTGCCATGGAGTAGCCTCTGTCTGCCAGGCCCAGCCTCACTGTGGGCAGAGGCAGCTGAGATACCAGCACAGCCTCTGCCCAAGAGGCACTCGGGGCCCACCTGCAGACGGGCGGCTGCATCCTCTTGTCTGGGGCGTGCGGCTCTGTATTGGGCAGTAGGGTGGCAGGCACTTGGGTGTTCTATTTTGTGTGTGTGTGTGTGTGTGTGTGTGTGTGGAGCTAGTTTTTGTGTGTGTGTGGAGCTAGTTTTTAAACTGGCTCCCACCTGCCGCCCTGCGCTACTGCCTCTGAGAACCAGCAGTGCAGGGTGGTGGGGGCTCCCCAGCAGTGGGGCTGAGCACACTGGCAGCCAGCCCCACCCCCAGGGACTATCAAATAGTTGTGTAACCACTAAAATTTGATGCAGTCTCTCAACTATTCAACTACACGTTCTCTAACATCTCTAGATTCCTTATCAGCAAGGCTATTAGTTCCTAGCCCTAGTAGGCATGTGACTAGGTGATGCTTACAGGGTAGTAATGGTTAACTGTTACCTGGGAGTAGTTCTCAGCCTGCAGCTGCTGGCTAAAACATATCTATCTCCTCCTGTAAGTATGTCCCAATCAGGTGGCATAGTGTTAAATGAAGGATTGTACAATACCTCCCTTGGATTTGTCACATGCTAAGCACGGACCCTTCCCCAACCTGCAGTCAGGTGGAAGTCTTACATGGCTATTGGCATGGAGTTTGGTGGGATGACTTGTTCAGATTTCTACAGTGACTAGTGACTTCTCTTTCCAGGCACGAGTGGCAAAAGGACCCACTATCCCGAAACCTTTCCATCTTTCCCAAGGCAACAAAAGGAAGTTTGAAGAAACTGTGTCCGAGTATGTCCCACTTGCTCAGCAAATTGTGAACTTCCAAAAGCGCACGCCCTCTCGTTACCACTTGAGGAGCAGGAGAACTGATGAAAGTAAGCCTTGGCAAAGTGGGCTAGCTGTTAACTTGTACATGCAAGTAATAGGGGAGCAGGAAGCATAACTTGTTGAGGTTTTGCCTACTTGGCCAGGTTCTGTGTGAACGACCCTCTACTCAAATTGTCAGTTTCAGCTCTAGCTATTAATTGCTGGTTTCTATGGCTTGGATTTGTAGGTCTGTGTCCAGTTAAGTCACTGAAGAGCAAGCTTACGCAGCCCAAAACTCCGCTGCTTCAGACAAATCAGCGCTGCCGACCTGTGACATGTAAGAGTGCAGCAGAGCTGGAGGCGGAGGAAGTGGAGAAGATACAACAGTAAGTAGAAGTGTTTAGACGCTGAAATATCTGTGTCCAAAGTCTCAATGTGTAAACCCGTCACTTCTGAGGAACATGGGCTTGTGTATATAGATTTAAAGCAAGGGGGATATAGGAGTGATCATTTAATGTAGATATGAAAATGATCTAGTTAATAAAAGGACAGTTGTGAAAGGAAAGGATTCAGCTCTTAGCCAAGAACAGTGAACGGGCCTGTGGTACCTTAGGGTATGTCTACACAATTTGCACTGTGCAAATTGCATATCTTATTTCAAATCCTATTTCAAAATAGCTTATTTTGAAACTGGGCACATCTACACAGCACCAAATTTCTATAACACTATTTCAAGCCATCCCTTATTCCTTGTCCAAGGTTTACCAGGATGGCAAAATAGCACACCCGCCCATTATTTCAAAATAATGGGCAACTTGTGTAGATCAAACTTTCATGGGTAAAACCCTGGAAAGTTCATGATATATTTGTTAGCCTCCAAGGTGCCACAAGATTGTGCACTGTTTTTAAGTTAGACTTAACATGGCTATCCTACTGAGATGCTTAGTCAAAAGTATGGCTAAGTATACACTTGCTAACTTTAGCTGTCAGGTTTTTGTGCAAAAACCTCACTAGCCTCTTCCCTGGCAATCCACGTTTTTGCCCTAAAATTGCGTTTCAATGCAAAAATAAAATGAACCCCACAAGCCTCTTCTGCATTGGTGTTCCAGTGAAGACTCAGTTGCTTTTACTAGTCTAACTGCCCTCTAGAGTAGGGGTGTCCAACCAGTGAGATGAAGAGCAAAAATAGTGGTGGCTAGAGTGAACAGCCACGTAATTCTATATATCTATAGATATAGAAAGATCACCATAGTACACAATGTGATAAAAATAACATTTCAGGACATTTTGGACAAAACCCAATAAAGTCTCCAGTCACTTAAATTCATGACCCGTCCACAGATCTTCAGAGAACTCGACAAGGAACAAACATCAAATTAAAGAGAGAACCTTTAAAATAGTCTCTCTAAAAAAAACATTTAAAATACAAGGTGAGGATGCAACACAAGTGCCCTATTATGTCCTGTGACACTTTAAAAATTAAACTTAACAGAAGTAAATCAGCACAATTTGAAGTGCCTGTTTCACTACAGCTTGTTGATCTCTGGTATGGTTTCCTTGGGTTTTTTTTACTTAAGAAGATTGTGGCTTTTTTATGGTTCTAAAAGGTCAGGTCTGTCCTAGACTGCAAATTAGAGGTTCAAAAACCAGAAGGAAGGGACTCGTATCTCAGAATATTGCTTCAGCCTGGCAAACAATAGCTTTGAATTTTCTTTAGAGACAGTATAAACCAGGTACATGCTGATTCTCTCTTCTCCCCCCCCCCCCCCCAATTTAAATGACATTTGTATGGCCTCCCTTCCTCTGCATCCACAAAGACTCTGAGTAAGGTGCTTCAGCTCTAACCCAATCCCCTTCTCTCCTGCCCCTGCTCCCCCATGCTTGGGTCCCAGAGCTGCCAGCACACACTTCTGCCTCTAGGCGCTGCGGTGGGTGCACAGAGCAGCTGGCCATGAGCAGGCAGTGGGGCACAGCTCAGAACCAGCAGGAGCTGCATCTCTTCAGTCAAAGTCTTGTGGCTCGAGCCATGGGTTGGCCACCCTTGTAGAGCTGTCCCACAATGCAGAGTGGGTGTGGCTGCTCTTTGAAACTCTGCAGACCTGCCTGTTAGCTCCTTGGAACAGCTGGTGGTGTCACTGCTCTGGGACACACAACAAATCATTTGAGGAATGCTGCTGCTACCTCCCACAATGCAAATGGAGTGGGGGGAGGGGCAGTGCTGAGGTGAGTGGTCTCTCCCTCTCCCTGCCTCAGGACTGGTTGCTTTCAGCAGTTCTCGCCTACCCAGAGCTGCCACAATTTGCTGTGTCCAGGAGCAGTGCATACTGGGATAGTTGCTCTTCATCCAAGATGCAAGTGCGTGCTGCATATATAAACCTGCTCTGTTGCCTGTGAAACCAGTGTGAACACAAACCAGCACACTCCGACACAACTGTCAGTGGAAAACCTCTGCATAGGTCTGTGTAGCCTTACTGGGAGTACCACTCGAATAAGCGAATACCATGCAGTACAAAACTGCAACCAGCCTTTTTGGTAGTTGGGGTCTAAAACCGTGTAGTCTCCATCTAGTGTCGGAGCTGTGCCTGGGGAGCACCAGGCTCAATGTGGTGAGTGACTCAGTTCATCCTTGCTGACTCGCAGTAAGGAAGTGGCCCTTTGCACAAGGTGAAACATGCAAGGTGCAACTCTCAGTCATTGTTGCTGATTTCTCCCGTTGAGGCAAGGCAGAAACTACTTGTGACTATTCTCTGCCTTGTTCTGTGTGTAGATACTTGTCCCTTTATTCTCCATGCAGGTACAAATTCAAAGCCCGAGAGCTGAATCCAAGAATCCTAGAGGGTGGGCCAATCTTACCCAACAAACCCCCCGTGAAAGAGCCCACACAGCCTGTTGGATTTGACTTGGAAATTGAGAAAAGGATTCAGGAGCGGGAGAGCAAGAAGCAGCAGCAGGAAGAGCACTTTGAATTCCGCTCCAGGCCATGTCCGGCTAAAATCTTGGAGGATGTGGTGGTAAGAACTCTTGCAACGCAAGCTCTGATCCAGAAGTGAGACCATCTGATGTGGTAGTAAGCTTCCATTTCAGAGCACACCTCTCCTCCTGTCCTGCAGTTAGTGTCTCAGACCTCTGCCTATCACTTCACATCAGGGAAAAGCTACAGTGGGTTAGTTGTGCCAGGCTGCTCCTGTGAAGTATCTTCTAATCAGGGCCAGATTGTCACTAACCTGACTATCTCCTCCTTATGACAGGGTGTTCCAGAAAAGAAGCCCCTTCCAATTACAGTTCCAAAGTCTCCAGCATTTGCACTGAAGAACAGAGTCCGAATGCCTACTAAAGAAGAAAAGGTGACCAATTTGGAAGAGTTTTGGGGGCCATGGCATGTGGCAACTGGGAATAAGCTTCCTATAGCTAACAAGCAACAGCTTCACAGGCAGTAATCGGGTTGAGAAGCTGCTCAACCACTTGGGGAAGAGACTAAGTGGAGAGAACCCCGTTTAGCCCTTGTTATGGCCATTACTTCCCAACGAGAAGCCCTTCTGTCTGCAGAGAAATCAGACCCTCTCCATGTCCTAGGACTTGAAGAGTCA